CCCCCTGCGGGCTACATTTAAAGAAGGAAAAATCAGGATTACGAACAGAAGAGGGTGAAAACAAACTGCCATGTCTTATGGGTGGAAGAATATACTGCGCTTCCCTTTTTCTTTTCCATCTGTTGCTTTTGTACCACTCCAGTTATCTAAATCAACCAAAACAGGGTGTAACTAATGCTGCGAATGTTCTCTGCATGATATAATTTGCAAAGATCATGCACAAAAGGCAGTGTGTCCAAAGGTTGTGAAACATTCTTGGATGTGTTGTCCTAATTAAATTTTATTGTTGCACTCAGTTGTTACAGATTGGCAAATGTTGGAAAAGCCACAGAGTGGAAAGAGGGGAGCACAGTAAAGAAATGAGAAGAGTTTGAAAACTCTTAAGCACACAGCCTAGTCCAAGTCTGCAAGCTAGTGCATGTGAACATACCCATTGTGCCCACTGCAAGACATACAAAGAGCAAAGCCACAGCAATGGGAGGAGACATGAAGATGAAAGATGATGTTAGGACATAAAATATAAGTCAAAGCAAAAGAAAACATGCGGTACTGAAGCTGTAAACATGAGAAAATGATGACTGACGAGAGCAAGAGTGAAAAAGTACAAGAAGAGGCAAACTGAAATGGTTATGCATGTAGTTCTGATCCCAGCACGCACAGTTTACAGTTTACATCATGCAGGGTGTCTGCCTCATTTATCCTCTTTACCTGGCAGCAATGTCATCATCCTCCCCGCCCCAACCCCAGTACTGGTTAGGGAAGCCGTTCATCTTCATGTACTGGTCTGGGGTCACCGCAGATACCCCACCAAAATACTGTGAGTATGGCAACCTGGGAGGGTCACAACACGCACAATCTTGAAAATAATGTCTCAGGGCAATGGAAATGTATGAAAGACCAGCCCCACCCTCGTTTATTCTGTGCTTCTACCTGTATCGGAACTTATCCATGGCCACCGACAGGTGTGTGGGAAACTGTTTGTGGCAGGTGTAGGTGTTGTGGTCGTTTTCAGGCAGCAGGTCAACATCATGCAGGAAGATGCAGCTCCAGTCTTCATCTCTGAGTGCCTCCCGCACCCCAACGTTTAACAGCTTGGCTCGATTAAAAGTGCTGTTTCCCCACTGAAACATCAAATGAGGCAGATTAATGTATTTACACATTAATATGTGAAGACTTAAATAAATGCAGCAGTTTTTAGAAATTCTGAACAACAGGGATATTTGAGGTACATCGCAGCAGAGCACAGGGGAATTTGTTGACACTGATTAATAGCACATCATTTTAAAGATTTGCTTATTACCTGAAGGAAAAAATGAATCTCCAACTACACCACTGTGGTTAAATTCAGCTGTAGCATGGGAATGTAATGTTTAATACACAGAAAGTATGACGTCCCATCTACCATGGAAATATCTGAGGTATGATTTGCTTAGATCGAGAGCTGTAACCTAAAAACAATTCACCTCTATTGCACTGGTCCAGGCAGATAAAGCTAACAAACACCTATCTCACAACCATTTTAAATGAAACCACATATTAATAATAATGACTATAATTTGCAATAAAACTAGTTAGAAGTCCTACAAGAGCTGTAAAAACAGCAACATTCAAATGTGTTCACTGGACACTTTTTCAATTAGGTACACCTCCTTTCTTTAATTCTTCAATGCACAGATTCAACAAGGCGCTAAAAACAACATCTTTGTCTGTACTGAAAGGACAGCATCACACAGTTGCTCTAGATTTATTGGAATAGCTTCCATTCCAGCACAAAACAAAGGTGCTCTACTGAATTGAGACCTGGTGACTGTGGAGGCCATTTGAGCACACTGAACTCAATATCATGTTCAAGAATCTAGATTGAGATTATTATAGCTTTGTCACATGGTGTGTTATCCTATTCGAATCAGCCATGAGAAAATGGGTACACTGCAATTGCAAAAAGGATGGATATGGATAGGTATGGTCAGCAATAATGACCATGACCAATGGGGCAGGGGCACAGCCAAGGGGGGCGGCAAGGCCTTTTCACCCAAAGAGCTGCTGAACTGCTGATTTCTGCTGTTCTCTGTAAACCCCAGAGATGGTTGTGTGTGACAATCCCGATCTCTCGGTCTCTCAGACAAGCCCAGCCATGATGCCACGTTTTAAGTCACTGAAATCACCTTTCTTCCACATTGTGATGCTTAGCTGGGTTGGTTGTCACGACAACGTCTACATGTCTAAACGCATCGAGCTGCTGCACAGTGATTGGTTCATTAGATGTTTACATTTACAAGCAGTTGAACAAGTGCCCCTAATAAAGTGGTATATATTAGATACAGTCAATGCAGGACTATTAAACCATAGCCCAATACTCCAATATCACAAGACCAATACTTTGTAGCAGCACATACACTACTATTACTGTTACACCCTTAACATCATCAGGCAAACGTTTTACTCAGTAGCACCTCTGATCCACTAGAACAACAATCCCACTGCATAATGCTTTGCTTTTGCTCATTGAAGGCAAACATGCAGCTGCTGACAATCACGCTGAACAAGACACAGGAGGAATCACTATAAAACAGCTAGCACACTCACTTATACATAACCTGACCTGCTGCACTATGTAGATGCTGTAGTGTATCTGCTGTCTCTGCAAGAAGGGGTGGAGGTGGTAGAGGAGGGCACGGAGGTGGCTCTGGCGGTTTCGGTACGGCACCACTATTGCTGTGTGGTGGCGTGGTTCACAGTCTGGAGGCCGGTAGCGTCCACCTGGCAACACTAATGGGTTTCTTTGTCTGATCTCCTCCAGAGACAGAGGAGACGAAAGATGGACAGACACGGGTCCAACTGGCCAAAGGAAAGGAGACAGAATGTTTCTGGCTTCGTTTCTATCAGCTCAAGAATACAAAGAAAATAGCAACTCATTTTGCGTTTCACTGTGTGCTACACTCACAAACATTTATTTGTCACCCTTCTCTCTCTCACCCAGCAATGGAGAAGGGATCTGGCAGTCTCTTAGTGGTGGGCCGGTGGCAGGGGGTCCAGTGCCAGAGTTGCGAGGCGGGGGAGGCGGTACTCCCAGATGACTGAGGTTGGTGTATACATCATGTGGTCGAGAGTAATCAAACTCGGGCTCTGTGGTGTGCACCAGGACAGACACCAGGCCTCTGAAGCCACCAAGGGAGAAATAGAGCACAAAGGCAAACTGGAAGCCTATCAGCAAGGCTAACGTGCATGGAGAGTCCAGAGAGCGCCCACAGTACGCCATTATTCTAGGGAAACAGAGTGGAGAGATGGGAGGAGATGAGGGGAAGTATTGCAGTTGAGTGAGGTGGGGGTTGTGGAAGAGGTGGAGAATGAGCAAGGAAAGGCAGAAGGAGAGGGAGGGGGAGAAAGGAGCACTAAATGTGGGCTCAGGTGCACTGGAGGTGGGCTTCCATTTTTAGGAATGGATGGTAGTAGTGGTGAAGCTCAGTCAGCACTGCCATCACCTTCTGACCACAAAACGTCAGCTGAAAGAAAAAGAACAGCTGTTACCTTATGGTGACCGTTGTTGTTTGTATCATTATTACATTACAACAGTCTAGATGTCAGGCACCTGTTTTTGTACGGGTCTAATTAAAACCTGTCAGGGACCAGTAAAGCCTCGCTCCACTTCTCTCCTTCTCCTCCTCCTGTCATCATCAGGCTCTCTGCGAGGTAAAGAAAAGAACTGAATGCATAACAATGCAGCACCAGTCCTGTCCCAGCTAAAATAGGCCAGGGAATGACAAGCAGCTACAAACAAATGTCATTCACGTTTGCTTCTTTATTTAGAATGGCTTCGTTTCAGCTGACATTTTTCATGATGCACGTATGGAAGCGAGTCTGATCAAACATGAACCCAACATCGCAGCCCCTTTAGTCCAAACAGTTAGATGCGACAGCTATCCAAGCGCGAGTGGCTTAATCACTTAATATGATGCTAAGTTTCCCAGGGAGACGACAGTTCATTCACTTAAAAACAAGAAGAAGAATAGGAAGTGGATGAACGCAAAGGCGCCGTGGTTATGACCGGGGACAACCTGCCATGCAGGTGATTAGCCTATGAGCATCCATCTTTAGGCCCATGCAGTGAGCATGTATTGCAGTATTTACATAACTAAAGGGAAAATATGTCAGTGACATGTATGCAGCAGCATTGCTGTGTACGCGACTTCTCCTGTTACCCGCAAAGGCTCTCGTTTACGTCAAAGATTTCTATTCCCAGGTTCGCGCAAGCTTCCCCGCACCCCGATGCACGAGCCGACTCACCAGCACATCCCTGCGACATGTCAAATCCAGCTCCTGGCTTCCTCTGAGAATCGACGGGCCGCTACGGTCGCTACAGCGGCGCGATGGACTATGAGATGCTGTTTTTCTCCTGCTGATGCCGGTCGATCGTCTTTGCCCTCCTCCTAGTCTCTCGTCCAACGCGAAATGTGTCCGTAGCTGCTCCGAAACCGCTGCAGACGTTTTCACACGCAAGATCATCGCCGTATACCCCTCTAGTGTCAACACAAAACACACAGACAAGTGCGCTCTGCCTCATCGGAACACGGAGGAGAGGCGCACCACGGTGACGCGCACAGCGGCACATTTGAAAATTAAAGGAGAGTGTGATTGTGCCAGCAGTGAAGATCTGACCGTGCGCAGTAAATGCTAATAATGATGACGAGAGGTTGACTGTGCCATCGTAAGGGAAATTTAAATGTATCCAGTGACTTTATTTTACAGGTTTTTCCCTTCCACCCAGTACTGACTGATTAGGGCGAATTTCCTGCGTCACCGCCCTCTTTTCTCTGTGTGGGTGAGATCATCAGCTCTGAAAGAGCACTGTTATCAGTATATGTTGTGCATGAAACAGTTCTCACCTAGAATACACAGGAATACCACCTTTGTATGTAGAATCATTTTCTGTCAGGCTGAACTAAAAGACTGCAACTCTCTTTAGCTTCTTTCTGTACAAAGTTCATGATTCATTCATCAAATGTTTTCCATTTTTTGGTATTTCTTCTTTATTTCTCACAGAGCATCAAACCCAGGGCGAACGGTTGTTCTTGCACTTAATGCAGCAGACTAAAAATGTCTTTATTCACATGCAGCAGTAGGTTGTCAGATTACAGAAGAGAGACAGGACGTAAGACATAATATTAAAGTATTTCCACATAGGTCTACAAATGCAAAACAAAACAAAAGGCTAGCCTCGTAGTAAACCTCCAAGCAGAAAAGGCAAAGCAGAAAAAAACTGTGCAAAACGATGCAATGACACTACCACTGATTGTAGCACAGAGTGAACACACTACTTTCATTGTTTCAAAGCAAAGCGGACTGTGTGTTGTCTCCATCTTGGGCACATTCCCACTACTGTACTGCTCCCGTATGAAATACTGTATTAAGGTATTGCTCAGATGGTGTAATATGTAGTAATGGCACAGGGTGGTGGTTCAGTCAAATATGTTCAATAGGCACATTTATTTAGCAGAATTTAAACCTGTCACTTGTTGTTGTTGTTGTTGAGTCCACTTGTTGTTATCTTGAACTGAAGTTTTTATTTTAGTGCAACCTTTTTGTCTGTAGATGGTGGGAAAAGCCCAAATTTTGGTTTATAAATACAGCATAATTTAATCACAGAGTGACAAGCCAAATGGCTTCAGACCAGTGAAACAGGGAGGACTTAATGTATTTACCAAATCAACACACAGAAAGTTATAAAAAGCACCTTTTATATATAAAAATCTATAATGCGCTGCCTTTTCTATTTCTTTTCTCATAATCGTAACCAGAATGTTAATATAAGAAGAACGACCTCAATTACAATAAGAACTATTGTGAAAAAATGGAGCGTTTCACAAGTTTTAAGCACTCGGTTTTCATCAGAATGAAACATTCTTCTCATTTTTGACTTCATCAAACAGAAAAAACTTTCAGAACCTTGAATTCAAAACAAGCAAAATTCACATGCAGAACTGTAAGCCTTTTGCTTTCCACTCCCTTCAAGTTATGGGATTGTATTTTTCACTTCCTCTCTGCCTGTTTCATCAGTTTATTGCCCATCCTCTTCCTCACTTATCCTCTTTACAAAAACAATAATAATAAAATTAATAATCTCAGATATAAATTCACCTCACTCCATATCTCAAGTTTTATTTCATTATTTAAATTATCCGTTCTTCATCCCTTCATCAATCATCCTCCCTCTTTTCCAGCGTCTGCCTGGTTTTTATTTTTTGTAGTTGCCAAACTGAATGGCGAACCGGTCGCTCACGCAGCGAAATGCCGCTGGCTGCACCTCCCAGTAATTGACAGGGTTAGAGAACAGGCTGATGCCATTATAGAATGTCCTCTTCATCCCAAATCCACGAGGACAGAAGTCATTCACACCCACTTGGCTGATGTTGTTGGAATGGAGATAAACCACCTAAAAAAAGCCGCAGTGGCAAAGGAGGGACAGTAGAAGAGAGCACTGTGAGAATCAATACCAAATGGAAATCAAAATTGGTTGCACACATTAGATTCACCTGCAGGTATTTCATATCTGGAAGGCCTTGGGGAACACGAGTGAGGCGGTTGTTGTCCAGATGCAGCTCTCTCAGCATGGTCAGGTAGGAAAGGCTGCCGTTCTCTATGTTGCGGATATGGTTAAACCCAAGGCCCAACCTGGAAAATGCCAGGCGAAAGGAACATTTTAAACAGGCAGAAAATGGGGCAATGCATGGCACATTGCACTCAAATGTTTCATGTATTGTGAGCCGAAATAACAGGATAATTCCAGATTATTATCACTTTAAGAAAGTTATATTAAGCCAGGTGAGGAATAGGGCCACGTCAGCCTGTCTCTACTACTATAAATGCAGCACGATGCCACAGGAGCAGAGGAAGAAAGTCTTTGTTCTCATCTGTGTAGCAACTTAATGGGCTGAAAAATGAAGCATATGTGGCAAAAAAGGAGGTACCTGCTGGGGCTATTCGAGGACGGAAAGTGTCTCAATCCCCACAGACGTTCATGTTAAAATGCCCACGCCAACAGCAAGAAAAGCATGTTTGCAATGTGGCATAAAAACATAGTTTAACCCTTCATAACATCTTCATGGTGAACGTCTTTTAGCCCACTTCATTGTGGCTGATAGTCAGGGCAGTGCTCTGCTGGCACAAGGAGCATTAGCCAGTCACTGTCTGCCAGTCCTTACCTCCAATATTTAACCTTTACATGCACGAGTGACCTCACCCTCCACTCGTCCATAGGTGGGTCAAAAATGATGCGTGTTAAGATCGTTGTGTTTATACTTTTGTCATTTTGGTTAAAAATAATCATTTGTGTTACGTTTTGTACTAAACTTTGTTCCACACAAGATGATGATTTCATGTTTAAACGTTTAGAAAATTAGAATAGAAAAAAATTACACAACAGAACAACGTTGAGATCAATTTGTTTGTGTGAAAGAGAATATATGCACATGTGTCCAGACAATTCCTCTCTTTATTGCCTTGTCCTTCACTGTAGTTGTGACAAACCAGCTGTTTCTGGCTGTAATCACTGCACACAGTGCATTTCCACACCGACTGCTGACTTTATGATCTTTGTTATATGAAATATTGTTGTCTTTGGTTGGCCCTGTCTGCTGTTTTCCTGTGGCCAAGTTTTAGCTTTTGGCACCCTACACCTTTGCTTCATTGATTGGAGTTTGCAGTTGGAGGCAACTTCCAGCCGACTTCTCTTATTGCCACACCAGGAAGACCCATCATGCGTTGGTGATACCATTCTTGAATTCAGGGTGCTTAGCTGTGAAGAAGGTGTCGGCATCAAGGGTGGCAATGTCAAGTTGTACCACAGCAGCATGGGCCACCTCTATGTTTTACACTTGCAGGTGCAGAGTGGGTGCCAACCATCTGCTCCATAGCATCTACATCTGCTTTGGTCTTGTTTTAGAATATGAAAAATTGTGGGTTTTTTCACTTTTCTGGTACCAGTCACCATTTTGTTGTGATACATTGTGCTCAGGGGTACAACAGTCATTCATCTCTTGCTGACTTAGCTGAGCACTGTAAGGCTGCCATTGAATCCAAACTCAGTGCTGTAAACACCCCAGGAGTCAGTAGCCTTCATCAGTGGAAGGATGTCTGCTTTGTCCTATTGTAGAGTCCCCACAATCGTGTCTCCAGCAGCAAAAGGCACACAGGGGGGAACGTTATCTGTGGTGATGCTGCATCTTGTCTTTCTGAACGGACTGCACAATTGCTGGTCAGTGGTTTCCCCCCAGATTCTTATGAACTTTGGCACAAGCTAGTCGCCTACAGTGGGGATGAATCACTGCCTGAAGGCTGTCTGTTAGTTAAATAATCCTTGAGAGGTTGCACTCTTTGTGGTCCAAAAATATATATCGCTGACAGCCCCAGTTGATAAGAAGGGTCCCATGAAATTCCATAGAAAGAAGATGTCAGGTAAAAATTTCAATATATTAAAAACGTGTTTTTTTGAGGAACTGGTCAAATATGAAATAATTACAACTTTTCATCACAAAGATACTACAAGAAAACAACCTCACCAGGTCGTTTTGAGCCACTTATAAGGGTTAAAGTCGGTGAACAGGACCTCTCCACTGTATTATCTAAAAATGATAACCGCATCGTCCAAGAAAACAACATTACTGCAAAATGTGGATCACAGAAACCAGTGGTTGATCTCACAGTGGCTACGTCTATTTGTTTTGTATTTCTTTTATAAGTAGCCTACAGTTTGAACTCCATTGGATTTGTGCTCTCTGTGATTACTTTTGGTTTCTAGACATTCTAATGCTTTTCCTTTAACACGAGAGAAATCCTGCAGGGGAGACGTATGCAGAAAAGAGATGGAAGAAACTTGGAACAGCCATTAAAAGACATGATGGCTCTTTCTGACAGAAGATATTTTCATATGTTGTCCAAACATGTGCAGCAAATAAATATTCAAATCATCTGACAAAAGTTGTCCTATAATGTTTTTAAACCTTTCATGGTTTTGCCCGTGATGTCTTCACACCACACATGCTGCACGGTGTGGGTCAGCTCCCTGCTACTTTCAGTGGCCTGTCAATGTAATTTGTATTATTACCCCTAAGGGGCACTGCTGACTGGGAATGTGATCAGGGTGCAAGAACTCAGCTGTGCTCAGAAATGAGTCTGGTGTTTGAGTGTGAAGGAGACCTGTAGAGGTTTTTGTAGCGGCTCAGGTCCTCCAGCTCCACAGCCTGGATCTGATTGTGGTCCAGATGAAGCTCATGGAGACTCTGTGGGAGATCTGAAGTGCAGATAACATAGATGTAAGACTTCACTTCAGCGAGACAACAGATTTGTGTCTTGCTGGACATTCCTTTTTTGTCATGTTGACCATTTGCTTTTTATTTAAATATCTAAAAGGGATACATTTTACTAGATACACTTTGTCACTATTTTGATCATAGATGCAGAAATCTGAGCATTCAAATGTTTTTGGGGTCTATCACAATGTGCTACAGGGCACATAAAAACACTGCTGTATATATTTACTAAAGAAAACACTCTACTGTAAATCTACCAAATACTAGAATGTTGAAAGATCTCTAGCATTTTAGCCACAAAGCTAAGTTTTTACCTTTTGGGACTCCGGTTAGTTTGGCCTCTGATATACGCAGAAAGTTCAGTTTCAGGCCCTTAAAAGCTCCAGGTTCAAATCCACTGTTCTGGATGGGATTTGCTCCCATTTCTGTAAAAAACAAAAAAACATCATAGCATGAAATAAAATACCTTCCCTTTAATCTTTAAAATCCAATGCCAATGCAACGCAGTAGCAAAGCATCACAGAATATCCTCTAGGATTCTGACCTATGCAGTTCATGTTATTCAGTCCTGCGAACGCTCCAGCTGGGACCTTCCTGATGCGGTTCTCATGGATCCTTATCTCTACCAGAGAGGCAGGCAGGTTTTTGGGGATAGTGGTCAGCAAATTCTTGGAGAAGTAGAGCTTCTGCATGTGCTTCAAAGGAACAAATGCTCTGGGGTGGACTTTGGAAATAAGATTATTCCTCAGAGACAGGCCCTAAAAAGAAGCAACAACCAAAGAGAGGCCAAATTCAACACCCATTTGGTCTATGAGCTACCAGGAAGTCAGAAAATGAAAGGGAAAAAAGAAAAATGAAGCACAAAATGTGAAATCATTATTTATGCCCTCTGCTCCTACGATAAGCGTGTTTCAGCTAGAAGACTCCCCACCTACACTGGCTGAAAGATGGAGACAGATGTAGTTGATGTAAGCAGAACTCAATAGAGATGGTATTGTGTTATTTCATGTCAGGGGTTTCCTAAACTGCCAGACTTAATATTTCTCTTGGTCAGAGCTCCAGAATGTGGGTCAGCAGTAAGCAAAGCCTTATTGCTGAGAGAGCTCGAATACTCCCATTTGGCTTCAGGCTCCAACTTTAATACAATTAAAGCTCTCAGAGCGGAGGACGACAGAAAGCAAGGAAATTAACCTTTAAATCCCAGAGAAATGGGGGTCTTAATTATATTTCTCACTACCGAAGCCAACACAAGCTGAGATGACTGAGTTGCAGATCTTCGAGAAATGCTGAGCCGATTCTTAAGAACTGAACCAAATGCTGATGCCTTTAATGAAAAAAGGAGTAGATAGCAAGCTGCTTAACAGTCCCACAGGTTAAAAAATACATATAAACTTACATATTTTAGTAACCTGAGAATTAATCATTAGAGTTGTAATCATTTCTACAACTGATTGTTGTGAATTCAGGTTGTGTGAGACAGAGGCGGCTGTTTGGCTGTGGGTCCCATTCAGGCAGTGAAAAATGTTAAGTACAGCCGTTCCTTTATTGTGAAGGGGAGTGGGGAACATGTTGTGCAGTGTTTCTGGCTCTTACATATAGGTTAGTAAGGCCTTTGAAGTCGTTCTCTTTAATCTCAGTGATACGGTTGTTCTGCAGGTCCAGGAACTTGGTGTCTCGAGGGATATTCGTTGGCACCTCGGTGAAACCTGAAGACAAAAGCAGTGAAAACACAGAAGGGCATCATCCTCTGGTAAATGCTCCCATGGGTGACTGCAAACCAACACCCTATAAGCCAGTTTGTTTTAAACTGGGAACTTCTAAGACTACTTCAACCAGACACCGACTTTGGAAAATAAATAGACAGTGTGTGGTTTAAAGGCCTAAGAATTAACCCAATCACACTCCCACACTGTAGCAAATGAGTACCTCGGTGCTCCTTGTCTATTATTTTAATGAAAGGTGGACATAGACACGACCATGGAGGTCACACACACACGTCAGCACGCCGTGTATAGCTACCATTATTGGTTTGTCGCTGACAAGGACAAGCATACACACTGTCGCACACAGAAACATAAATTCCCCTCCCACCAGATGGGGACACCAGATGTTTCCCATCTGGTTTCCAATTTGACAGAAGTCACAAAGGATGTGATTTAAATACTATAAAGTCACACATCAAATAGAAAGGAGACTGGCACAGCCCCGACATCTACAGACGAATAAAAGCTGTGTGTGTGTTAATGTGTGAGTGGTGGGTAAGTGTTGAATTGAGAAGAAGTCTTTGCATTTTAACCTGATTGTGACTTGATTGGTCTGTTACAGTCAAGCACTTTCTCTCCTCACAGTATTGTTTTGAACTTCACTCATGAATCATTCGAGACTTCCCAGAATATTTGTGTTCTGTGAATCAATATTATACAAATATCTGTCAGAAGAAAGAGCTGAATGTTTGATTTTTAACACTATTTCATGATGTGAAAACACTGAATGTTTCATCACTGAAGGGCACAGTCTATTATCTTTGGTTACCAAGCGATAAATTCAAACGGCCTAGAACAGACTGCGACACGTGAACACCAAAGTGGCGTTAGAAAATACACCTTTGCTATTTTGTTCAGGGAGCTCTGGAAAAATGACTCAGCGCACGGATAAACACAGCTACCAGTGATCATTAACAAGACCACATCAAAGAGCCACGTGGACGAGTGTATCAGATGTGGTAGCTTAATCCAGACAGGCCACAGTGGACGAATCCCAACCAGGGACGACCTCATCTGGACCGAGGACATGATGCAACTGGGCATGCTGGTGAGAGAGTGCCAGCTGTCCCACTGGGAGCGAGTTTGCCACCAACCACATCTGACCCACAGAGCTGTCCATCTAGAGGTAATTTTAGATATATGGCTTTGGTTGTGCTGTGCCACACCCTCCATGACACCACATAAGATCCAAGCCTTAGTCGCTCCCTCTGACATTCGGCTCCGACCGCGTCCTCACAGAGAGATCTAGTGCAGATTTTGCCTTTAGAGAGCAAATATACATTTGTGAAAGCTGTGTGGAAAATATCGAGTTTCTATCCTCAGTATATTCTTTAAATCATAAACCACGCTCTGCATCTATGATTTCTTTTTTTGTTTAAACATGCAATAAAGTTATTACAGCTGCTGTGAGACTCTAAGGGTGCAGGATGTTACCAGGATGATTCATGTGGTAGGAAATATTTACCTTGCAGTCAACGCCTGCAGCTTTTGGCAGGCCTCCTGCCAGTTGGAAACCTTCAAATCTGCGTGCCAGGCATCAAAACTAACAAACTTGATGGGAATACCTAGAAAAAAGCTTTCACCGAGACCCTGATTAAATGAATCCTTAAACCCTCTAAACCTCAAACCACCGCTCTTCAACCACATCTGCCACAAATCTCAAAGCCTTTACCGCAAACTGACAAAACTAGCACCCTCTAAAACCCCAGTTCAACTCAACACAAATACTCAACATCATGCTGGGATCCACACTGAGAGGAGACAGACGCCAGCACCAAAATACATCTGTTCTAAATAAGCACTTGACATCTCGGAAATTATACGCTTCCACATTTACCCGCTGCTGAAAGACCAGGGACAGTAAGTATATAGAGGTTGTAAAATGATGATTCGACAAAACCATTATGTCTAAACCAAGGCGTCTTATTAGAGTTATATAGCTAGTATAATGTGAAAAATCTTTACATCCATAATTAAGACATAACTCAGTTTCTTTTAGTCTCTTTTAAAATGTCTGCAGTGACTAAATTGTACTGGATGCTTTTATGGAAACGACTTAACTCACAGACAGACAGTAAAAACATAATGCAAATTTTGGCACAGTTCTGCTTTTATTTTTATCTACTGGAAAAGCAAAAATATATTTTTAAACAAACCGCTAATACTAGCTCAACGTGGTTTATTCCTCATAGTGAATATAACTGCAAATAATCCTCACGAGGTGTTAAAATAATAAAAGAAAAACTCAATATTTAATTTAATTTCCTTCGGGGTCAATAAAGTTTTATTGAATTGAATTGTTAACATCTTGTTAAATGGTTTAATTCTCAAGCTTCCACCTCATTGCCTTTCACATCACCTAGCTAGCTAGCTAGCGAGCTAGCGAACTAACAAGGTGCATACAGCACTTAGCTGCTTATTTATGCTGTTTATTTGCCATTTTAGAGAATTTAAAATGTCTTTGGACATATTTTAGAACTACTAGGAATTGAGACTTTTACTTCTTTACCTTCTAATAACTGCCTATTAATAACATACAGAAGTTGTACATTAATATGTCAAGATAGAAATACATTCTCACCTTTTCAGTACTTAATACTTATAAGGTTTTTTAATCTAAACCAGCAAAAACTAACAATTGTTAGAAGTGTCTAAATAGGTTTTCTTACTCTGAACATGTTTTCTATCTAAAGTGAAGTTTTACTCATATTTCCCCAGCAGTTTGATCCTCATGCTCGTGTGCGACTGTCTCCGAAGTACAAAGACAGTCACACAAGGTCACTCGTTCAAAGCTGGCTGCTTTTCACACACATGCATTTCCACACAAAATATGCAGATCTTTTATTTCCAAGAACTTTTTTTCGAGGAACTGAAAAAGCTCTTTCCTTAGACCATTTGGTTATCTGCATTTCCATAATAGTTTCCAAGAATAAGACTGCTTAAGTATAAAAAGAAACTCAACAGCTGTTTTTACACATCTTTTTAGCAAGTGACTATACCTCGCACTACTCCTCTTCAGCCCAGTTGGTTACAACAACGCAGAAGATTAAATAAGCGTAATGAGGTGACCAAGATGAAAAATTAAGCAATGTGGAAGTGCCAAAAACTGTGAGCCCATCAGAGCCGAAATAAACATGCTTATGTTTAAACGTTGTTATATTGTTCTTGGTATCTATAGCTACAATTTCCTGCTTGGCAACTGTGAAGTGGATGATTTCTGTTTTTTACACCTTCTTATGAAGTCAGCATCCCAACTTCACATCACAGTGAATTACGAATGCATTTTGTTTCACAAAGCTTTAACTGACAAATTTCCAGGTTTGCCCTCTTGTCTGAATATTGCCATGTCTGGCTTCAAAAAACCAACATGGCAATCCCCAAAATGACAAGTGTGCAACTTGCAATCTGCAAACCAAAAGTGTGACTCACTGTCACCACTCCATCTATTTTACAGTCTTTTTTTAGAGGCACTTCACCAACAGTGAGCATACAAGAGACTGAGGTAGTATTGTTTGAATAGTAATGTTAGTTGTAGCAAAATTAGTGTCAAATTGTCCAAATTGCTGCAACTACATCAGACAGAAATATTCCCTGGAACTAAATTTAGCTACTGCCTCCAGAAGGGGCCCAGGGTCACTAGTCTGTAGGGAAGTAAAACATGAATTTAACTCTAATTATTCTATTAAAGGGGTTCTGTATTATGTGTGTGGTAAGTTTTTTTCAGCTGTTGCATTAAACCTTGAAAATACACATTCTGTAACAGAAGAACAAAATTGGGAAAAATAGAACTTTATCTTTTAGACTGGACCACATCTGAGTGGTCCACATCACGGACCACATCTGAGATCCGAAACTTGATGAATAGTTTCAGAATCTTTTTGTTGTATAAGAAAAACATACACTTCTTATTTACAAAGAGCAGTTGGCCTAATTAGGATGCTTTTAAGCAATAATTCCCAGTCCCAGTAACTTGCCTAGTGTTCATGAAATATGTGGTCATTTGTGCTTTTTTTCATATAGAAAAAGGCATAAATAAGTGTTTTATATTGGTTAATAAAGAACAAATGCAAAGAGCAAGTAGTTAGACGTTAAGTTGACATTAATACTAGATCTTACCAAGCATATGTGCAAAAACATTTACAAGACTCATTTACAAAGTTCCCTTTTTTGCCCACCGTAGGGTGGCTGCGGCTCAGGAGGCAGAGCGGGTCTCCTACATATCAGAAGTTAGCTGTTCGATTCCCTTCAGTGTGCATCTTGAAGTGCCCTTGGGCAAAATACTGAACCCTGAGTAGATCAATATTAGACAGAAGTGCCGAGGCATAGATAAAAGAGTGTATGAATGCATGTTTTGGGGTAAATGAGGCCAAAAGTGAGCAGAAAGTGTTTCGAGTCAGTCTGAGGATAAAAACGTGTCGTGTAAGTATCAGTTATTTTTTAATTTTCTCTGCCGACCTCTAATTCTCTGACTTTATCACTTTTTTCTTTTATTCTCGGTTACTCCTGACATCTTTTGATATAATCTTTACTCTGTTCTGCTCACACAGTGTCTCCTCCTCTCCCACCCAGTAGCTTCCCTCAAAGTCTGGAACACCAAATCCCTCAAAGACATGCCTTTCCCTGTCAAAATATACCACCATTATCCCAGTGGAGAAATCCCCTCCCTCCCACTCTAAAGAAGGGCTCATAAATGTTATGCAAGGTTTGGATCAGTAAGACAACTATTTTGTTTCCCTTTCTGAACTTCCTGCCACACTCACACACTGTGAAATGAAGACAAAGCTTTACACCAATACATACTGATGCTCTATTTCCTTCCCACACACTCACTAACCGAGATCAGAACACTGGACGACCCTGAGATGGCACTGGCAGCCAAAGGGGCATGTGGGTATTTCGTGAGGGAACAGATCGTCAGCTGAACCCTCTTCAGGATCCCTCATCATTTCCATGGTCATCTCGGCGTCCATGCTGTCCAGGGCAAAATCCCAGAAGCCTTTCTGCTCAAAGGGCAAGGCAGAGGAAGAGGAGGGCAGCTGGACCGCGCATAGCAACAGCAGAAAGGAGCAATGTGGCAACATTTTTAATTGAAGCACCTGAAAAGACACAAAGGAACGAGAGTAGCCTTAGCGTTAATGCAACAAAGTAGAAATTTCATCCAGCGTAGAGACATTTTGTGTGTGTGTGTGTGTGTGTGTGTGTGTGTGTGTGTGTGTGTGTGTGTGTGTGTGTGTGTGTGTGTGTGTGTGTGTGTG